ATCGCGATTTTCGCCTTTAAAGGTGATTAACTGGCAAACAAGCACGTATTAACCGGCGAGTATAATAATTTTCGATATTAGTAGAAATTTCTGGTTCGTATACGTGTTATTATCCTGATTACCGCTGCGTGAAAGCGGAGATATTCGCGATGATTTTAAGTTCGCAAAAGCGAGAGTACACGCGTATCGGTAATGATAATGAGATACGCGTTTGCAAGAACGCTCGTCAATTCTGATTATGTTGCCGTCCGAGGGAAAGCTGCAAACACGAATTACGCGTATCATTACACGTCAATCAGGGATCCAAATTTTTACGAAATTTTTCTCGAAACGCGGAACACAGGCAAAATACATTAAACTTCTTTGCTTCGCGACACGTATAAGTTCCTAGCCAAAATTCCGAGAGACTTTTAAAATTTTTAATTTGACCTTTTAAGGAAACAGAGGCGCGTATCTCCAACTAAATGTCAATCATGACACGTTTTAAAATTCGTTTTAAAATTCCTCGAAGCACTACAGCATCATAATTACTGAAATTTGATGACAGTTTTATAAAAATATATTAGACATTTTTGCTAACATGACAAAAGTACAAGGATAATTTTGATGAATTAATTATATGTTTCTCTTTAACACTAGATTTACGGAACCTGTCAATTTGACAGATGGGTTGCTGCAATTATATAATGGTAACAGATTTAGTTAACTTATATTAAGACTGTTAATATTGTAATTGCTTTCAAATTAAATTAATCGTTAAAAGAAGAACACGTAGTTTCCTTTACCTGTCAATTTGACAGGTGTCAAATATGTATTATAGAAACAGATATACAGATAGCGTTCGTAAACCTAGTGTTAAAATCGTGTTCTCAAAATTTTGTTGACATGTCAAGAAATATTGCATTTCTTCTAAAATACATGACAGGGAGAAGAGTATAATTGTCATTCACTCGGGAAATTCTAGAACCTATAATAATACCTAATCACGTTCTCAAAATTTTTGCTTAATACTATAACTGTGTTTAAATTAACCTAATCGTTAAAAAAACACGTGGTTTCCTTTACCTGTCAATTTAACAGTTGTCAAATATGTATTATAGAAACAGATATACAGATAGCGTTCGTAAACCTAGTGTTAAAATCGTGTTCTCAAAATTTTGTTGACATGTCAAGAAATATTGCATTTCTTCTAAAATACATGACAGGGAGAAGAGTATAATTGTCATTCACTCGGGAAATTCTAGAACCTATAATAATACCTAATCACGTTCTCAAAATTTTTGATTACAGAATTAAACGATTATTATCCCTGAAGATCTTCCTCGTGTCTCGACAACGTATCTATCGTTTAAAACACGTGCAAGTAGCTTTTAAACTCTCTTGTAACATCAGCGTGGTAGCTTGCGAGGCTAATTAAACGCGCAAAGAAAACTTGTTCAATTAAATCTCTTTAGCTTTATCACGGCCGATAATCGGCGAGTTAACGGCCTAACAGCCCTCAACTTTCAAAAACGACTGTCACAAAGCGTCTTATCTGGATGGAAAGGCACATTCGACTGGTGGTAACGAAATGATCGTGAGTCAGCATCTCTCTCTCTCTCTCCCGCTATCAAATAATACTCTCTCGCTGATAATTCGACACCGTGGAGCGATATAAGGTTGGTACACCTTTGCTCGGTGTCAAACGTTCGACCTGGGTCTGTGAATTTATCACGGGCAACGGATCGGTATTCATAGTACGTTACACTCGCAGCAGATCGCACGACGATGATAGCTTTTCGTTGGTCTAAGCTAATATCGAGCCGTAATAGTTTCTCGTTCGTAGCCGACCAGCTCGAAAGAGCATGAACAAAGACACGTATCGAGCGTGGACTATCTCGCAAGGCATTCTCTAATATCGGCTTTTAAAGAGTTCGCGGTGAAACCTTTCGTGAGGCTATTGTCTGCATTTAGCCCGCGCCAGCCCTGCTTGATCATCCACGATGACCCCGTCCGACTCGCGAGGTCATCGCAGCTATGCGAGAACGTTTCTATAGCAGCCACGTGGGTCGACGGTTCATCGGGATCGATACAAATGACCCGATATCGCTGTCATCGCGACGATATATTTCCTCAATTTTCCTGTCAATTGTTTGCAACGTTCTTGGCACTTATTAGGATCCCCTAGAATCAATGTAGGTGGATTTGAAGGATTCTTTGATGAATTTCTTGGGTGAAGATTGGTCCCAAGGTGATTCGATTGATCGTTTGATGAGATTTGTGAAACAAGGACTTCGTGGAATGAGAATTATTATAGCCGAGTTCGTTGATGAAAATTCAAAGGAGAGATTAAATATTTTCACGACATGGCATTGGAATTCTCTTAAATTCAGCACCCGTCACAGAGAAATTAGGGTAAAACTCACTTTCGACGATAGATCTAATTAGCAGAGTTTATTACCATTTATTAGCGAACCGACTAATTAGAGACTGGTATATTAATGTTTGGTGCTTGAGCATACTAATTAAGCTCACGAACCGCGAGTGTAGGGCTAATTATTAAACAATTAATCAGCCACTCTGTTAAGCGTGAAAGAGAAGTTATCTGATCATTCGAAAACACTTTGGTAATAGGCACGATGAATTGCTCGCATCCAAACTCTAATAAGCCCACTTTGTTTAGAAGCTGTAAAATAGCGTTTGCATTATGCATGAACCAGCTAGTCAAATTTTCTACCTGCTTAACTTGTGGAACAAAATCGACCATGTGTGAAGAAAATAATAAGTTGGAATCCCTAAACTATCAAAACTCAAAACTAAATTAGAGTTTCGCATGCAAGTGTATTGTACTATCAACACAATCACCGTGGTTCTGGAACCCACGCATTATCCAAAATAATACTTCTACAATTTGGAAATGGTGGTACTTTAAGCTTATTAACATAAGATTATTGCCTATCTTATTTAACACTAGAACCAACTCAGTCAAAATGACTGGTCCCAGAATTTTCCTTTTTGCAATCACCCAACACATTCACCTGCTTTAAGAATAAAATTGGTATCAATTCATATTAAGAAAGAACTGTAACCAATATATTCACTCATAGTCATCGTACCACTGAAATTACTATAATCTGTGCACGTCATAGTTAGGTACCCATTAAAGATCGGTAGTTCTAGTGTTAATTAAAAAATTACAGTGTGTAGAAGATCAGAAAGGTTAGAAAGACCACCTATTTTCATACAGTCGCCTCTGTCATCGCCGATATCTTAACCCCTAAAACAGGATCTGCCTTTAGACTACCCCTAACAAATCCACGATTTTAGTCTCATTCGTCCATCGCCAACCCCACCACTCGTGTAACCATTTCGTTGGACCCAGAACGAAAGCCCAGATCCATCAAGAGTCGAAATTCCAGGATTCAAAATCAAATCTCAAAACTAAATTAAAGTTTCGCTTGCACATGTATTGCACTATCAATACAATCACCATGCTTCTGGAACCCACTTATTATCCAAAATAATACTTCCACCATTTGGAAATGGTGTTACTTTAAGCCTATTAACGTAAGATTATTGCCTGTCTTATTTAATTAAAAAATTACAGTGTGTAGAAGATTAGAAAGATTAGAAAGATCACCGATTGTCATACAGTCGCCTCTATCATCGTCGATATCTTAACCCCTAAAACAGGATCTGCCTTTAGACTACCCCTAACAAATCCACGATTTTAGTCTCATTCGTCCATCACCAACCCCACCACTCGTGTAACCATTTCGTTGGACCCAGAACGAAAGCCCAGATCCATCAAGAGTCGAAATTGCAGGATCCGAAAGGTGGGCGCGCAAAGAGACTATTGACCCAGAAAGCGGCGAGAGATGATTCAGCGACAGGATAATAATAATCGAAAACCACGACACGGGTCGGTGAAAGCGGATGAGAGCATGGTCGCGTTCCACGGGGCACAGGTACAAACGAAACGCAGAAACGTCAGACTGCTGTCTCAGGTTTCCGCGACAGAGATGCACGCGTGAACTCTCGGTCTCTTGCTCATAGCCTACATACGAGCGACGTTAATGGACGAACACGTGACACAAGGCCGTACGATCACCTTGGTGCCCCACACGCCTCTCGAGACGCCTCGTCGTCCTTTTTCCGACCGACGGAATAGCGGAACTCGCCATTTTACAGTTAGCCAGCAACCGGCGAGCACACTGGTCCGTCAGCGGCTCTGCTCAGGCTGAGCCGTGTTCTCGACCTTCGCCTGTCGATCGATTACCACGCCGATTCCTCGCGTGAATCGGCGACTGGCAGTGCTGCTTGTCCGAGTGGTTGCTCGTGCGATAACGTTAGGGCTTTGTTGCGTTTGCCCGTGTCGAGTAGAGAGGCTCCAGGGACATGTCTGGGTGTACAGAAGGCTTGGATGGGACTAAAGTACCCTGGCCTAGACCACTTCGCTGTGTTTGAACTTTCAGAGACTAGATGAAGAGACTCCATGTAGAAAATGGACATTGGGTGACTGGTACTTAGGCAATGAATATTAACGAGCATTCGTTAGACCACGTGCCATTTTTAGAGAAGAAAGTTTATGTTAGCGAATTGTAATGTAGGAACGCATCCGTTCCCTAGTTGCGAAGAAGAAAACCATTTTTACAGTCTTTCAATTAGCCACATGGAGGGTCCAGAGTCATTTAGGGGCCTGGTTTATGTCATATGTTACTAGTCTCCCATGACACGTGGGCCAGGGCTGAAGAAGTTCAGTTCAGCTGACGACTAGAGAGCAATATAGACCATTTTCCTAAGAGCTACACCGTTTTTCTCGGTACCAGACCACCTTGTATAATGAACTTAATGAAGTTCGACATAGTGCTTTCGCTTGTTAATCCCTCGCGATATTCCTGCAGTAGGTTAAGCCTAATTATAACGCAGAATTGTACGTGGGTTTGATTAGGTGTTAGGGTGTTGGACAATTATAAAGGAAGTCACTCTTTTTGGTCTGCTTGCATCCGCTCAAGAGATACCTTGCGAGGCAAGATCGAGTTGTTCTTGCGACGGGATGCCTAACTCAGAACTAGGATAACAGAAGCTTATCTTTGGAAGTATTACATGGACTGTGTTCAGCATTCTTAACCTACTCCGTTAACGAACAGACACGCGAGAAATCTCGACCAAAAGATCCTACGATTGCCTTTGCTATGCGAAACGTGTGATGCATGGATGCCAAAGGATTAATTGGTAGACACGAAGTAGAAAAGAAGCTTCCATATTCTAACTCGTACAATTCCTGCGAGGAATTTTAATTTGTTAGGAAAATAAAAATAGATTCTAGAAACCTTGACCAAAAAATTGTAATTATCTCTATCTATCAGGATGTCGCACGTGCGAGCGAAAGAGAAGCTTGAACTCAAAAGTAGCTTTCCCTCCTGATCCTATCTATGTGAAAAGGTGTAGTAACTAGGTCTAAGTCGGGACCTTTCGAGGGTACCCGGAAATTCTTATGCCTGGTAATAGGACGATATAAGAGACGTGTGTATGAAGTGACTAGTAGCGACTAATTCTCAGAACTTCCTGTTCCTAGGATGTTAAGGTCGAGGTCGACGAACAACGGGTTCCGGGAACCATTTCGCGGTCTGAATTTTAGGCAGTCAGCTCGTTAACCTCTTTACAAGCGGCAGATCGTCACGGTGGATTATATGGAGATTCATGGGTTTTATAGAGACACATATAGAGTCTCTACTATGCTGGAGAGTACTTCGGCTGAAAATTTCGCTGCTTAAGGACTGGACCTGGATCTCAACTTTAACTAACTCTATCTCAATAGATAGACAATTCTTAAAAACAAGGACTCTAAGACTCTTCAGAAACTATTACTAACTCTTACAAGAAACTGCTTCTATCTTCCAGAATGGGTCCTTTTAAGGCCGCTCGGAAGGCAAGCACCTCCCTCGAATCGAAGGAGGAAGAACTTCCTTCACGCCAAGGTCAGGATGGAGAAGACTCCACTTTCCGGGTTAGGCCCTTCGGGGGGTCACCCACGTGGGGACCGTTATGAGGACCCTTGTCACCTTCGCGGGGACTCTCGTCACCCTCGCGGGGACCCTCGTCACCCTCACGGGGACCCTGGGGACCCTCGTCACCCACGCAGGGACCCTTATGGGGATCATCGACACCCTCGCAGGGACCCTGGGGACCCTCGTCATCTTCGCGGGGACCCTCGTTGGGACCCTCGTCGCCCTCGCGGGGACCCTTATGGGGACCATCGACACCCTCACAGGGACCCTGGGGACCCTCGTCATCCTCGCGAAGTCCCTCGTTGGGACCCTCATCGCCCTCGCGGGGAACTTCGTTGGGACCCTCGTCGCCCTCGCGGGGACCCTCGTCACTCTCGCAGGGAACCCAGGGACTCTCGTCACTCTCGCGGGGACCCTCGTCACCCCCAGCTTACGACGGGGAAGGCCAGGGTTACGCGAAACCGCTTCACGTGGCTTGGCCCCGACCTCCCACGTCCCATCTGACAGCCAGATCCTAACGGGTCCTCTAAACTCTGTGAAGTGTTCCCTACAGCACTCATCTCTCGTCACTCTCGCGGGGACCCTCGTCACCCCCAGCTTACGACGGGGAAGGCCAGGGTTACGTGAAACCGCTTCACGTGACTTGGCCCCGACCTCCTACGTCCCATCTGACAGCCAGATCCTAACGGATCCTCTAAACTCTAAAGTGTTCCCTACAGCACTCTTCGACCATCGCACCCTAATTAAGCTTAAAAACATCCTACCCTTTTTGTTCGTAGACCATGGTTGCAGACTTTCGGGATGAAGATTAACGACCTCAAAGGCATCGCGATTTTCAGGAATCTTGGAAATCTCTTGGGAAATTAGGTGTCCGAGGTACATACCTCTCTCATGCTTTCTATCTGTTACGAAGCATTTACGGATCCCGTTGTTTAAGTTATTGCTCCCTGCTCGAAGAAGCTTATCGGAAGAATATTCGAAAATTTGTAATGCCGATAAAAGTTAATCGCGATATTACTTTGCTCGTTATTATAAAAGAATGCTGACACGTATATGTGACAAATAAAAAATTTGTAATCGTTATACTTTCGATAAAAACACAGCAAGTTTTATCGTCCGAGAACCGGTTTTTTCGCGGACCTCTGTGGCGGATGCAGACGGATTCTTAGAAAGACAAGCGTGAATCGAAATGTGAATCACAGGTATAGGCTGAATCGAGGGACTCATTGGCAACGAATTGGCCCAGTTTCCCGATTATCATACTCTCATAGCCTCTGTTAAATTAATAACAATAAACAACGTTTCGTGTAACTATCACAACACAGAAATGGATGCAAAAATTGATGCAACGTCTCGATTTGTCATCGCCCAATTCGGGACACCAGTTGACGATAGGTCTGACTAAGTAGCAGCAGCCTTTCAGACTCCACTCTTCGATCATAATAAATTAACCGGCGAATGAAGTATCCGAAGGGTGGACGAAACACGCGTGAGACACGACGGATTTATACACTTACAAATCATACAAATCAACTCCGTTATGGCTACCTGACGCGGAACGAATCAATCGTTGAGCCTAGACGCTGAGCCAACGACAGCGCGAGAGCTACCTCTTGAAACAGCGTATCATTGGATAAAACACGAATCCGATACTCAGGGCATGCAAAGCATTAAACGCTGGACTATCGGAAACCGTAATTTACTCGCGGACAAGCCAATAATTAACTGCAAATATTTGTCCAGCAGCGTGTTTACACGTCGCCAGGCGAAAACGAGCAACAGGTACAGGCATAGGACTGACGAAAACAGGTATCGTTTGCACGCGAAATGCCAAGGAACGTTTCCCAGCCGGAGAAAAAGCTCGGCCCGATAGCCGGACGGCGATTAACATAGCAGCATTAAACGTCGTTTCCGCGATAGCCGCGATTATGACATTTACGCGCCTCTGGTTACACGTCGAAACCGCGGTTTCCCAATCGGGGTACCTGCGGCTGAATTATCGCGGAATTCAGGCGAGCCCAGACGAAGGAACGCGGCAAGAAGCGAATAATGAATGAATAAAGAAGATCCGACCGGTAGTTCGAGCGGAATTTTTCATCCTGCTCAATTATAGCGGACCGTTAAATGGCCGGACGTCTGGCAAAAGCAAAACGGTCGCGGCCAACTCCCGTCGCTTTAATAGTTCCAGTCGCATTCCGAGTCCAAGTGCGTAATGAATGAAATTACCCGTCGTTAATTGATCTAGTTTTAATTTTCCTCGCCGTGGCCGCCCCTTTTCCGAGCGGACACACGCTTTCTCGCCAGCCGGTGTAATTGGCTATCGGCTGTCACCCGTTTTGGCCAATTCCTTGCCATCTGCGGTCACCCCGTACTAGTTGCCTGCGATTCATCGCGGTGAGAAAGCACGGGAACGGACACCGGGGATTGCAGGAAGACCTAAAGTCGGGTTAGGTGTTCCTGCTTTCGAGATCGCAGCGCGTTCTGTCAATTTCTCCAGTGTCATTTGGCAGACAGTGGGTCGATCGTGTCAGGAAGGACGAGAATCGTAAGAGGAATTGAAAGAGAGTCGATGGGAAATTGAAGTCAGGTATTCTTTGCTTTGAAATATGTATCTGCTACTTTGTAGACTGTCTCGCGTTGCCTGGTAGTATAGTTTGACAGCGGCTGATTAATCGTGTCGGGAAGTATCCCTTTGGAATACTATTTTATGCTAATTTATCGCGTCGTCACCTGGTACCATTGGACGTTGATCGATCGGTCGTATCAGGATGAAAATAGTGGGAGAATTGAAAGAGAGATGTAGCGAAATTGGGTCGGGTGTTCCTACTCTTGAAATATTATTGTGCCCTAATTTCTCGCGTCGTCAGCTGCTACCATTTCGCGTCGATCGATCTGTCATGTTGGGGGAATGAGAACAGCGGAAGAATTGGAAGAAAGACATTGTGACGTTGGGCTAGGTAGCCTTTGCTTTGAAATGCTGCATTAATTTCTCGCGTCGTCGATTGCTGCCATTTATTTGACAGTCGGCTGATCAATAGAGTCGCAAAGGATAGCAATGGTGGAAAATTCGAGAAAAAGACTTTGCGACGTTGAATGTTTCTTGCTTTGAAATATCATTTTCTATTCATTTCACGCACTGTCAACTGAACACTGTCAACAGTGACCTGAGATGCCTATTACCTGTTCTGGGGCACGACTGTGATAGAGAGAAATTTCCAAGAAAATTTCCACAACGTTTCTCGAAGAAATTGCCAATTTATTTACACCTCTATAGGTGTTTTCGTTGTAAAGAAAAATGTGAAGTATTTTAGTGAAATATTGGAAATTATGCAGCGACAAAAATAAATTATTAAATACACAGAATACCATTTTCTCCAGTTATTATCTAGCTTTCGATGTTCCCTCTTTTACCGAGAAACCAGCTGTCTAAGAAAGATAAGCACACCTTCGATCCTCTCTTAATTATTATTAATCACGCGAGGGGTTAACAAGCGGGTACTTAGGCGAGTTGGAATGTAGGAAGCTGTTTAAATACATCGTCGATTGCAAAACGAATTGAAGAGAAAGTGATGAAACAAATTGGCGAGTCCGGGATTTCCCGCTTCCATTGTAGGAGCAGCTACATTCCGTGGCTCGACTTTTTCGAATTTTTTCACCAGTACTCGTTTTTAATAAGCACAGGTGTACGCGCGTGTAATTACGAAACGCGTGTGACAGTGTGTCCACAACAAAGCAGTATATATGCTATTACGATTTCTTTGATACCTGTAACATTACTCTTTAATTGGACTGCAGCCTTAATTATGCAGGATGCTGAAGTGTGGGAGAATAACGAAAGGATATAAGAAGAATGTAAAAGTGATTAATAACAATCTCACAGTTTCCCAGATTGCACTGCAATTTAATTGCAGCCATGGGTGTATCGTATATACTCTCTTCGTATAACGATTATAATAATTTTCAATTTAAAATCCCTCATTTTATTTTATTTTATTTTATTTTCCCCGATGAGGTCTATAAAAATTTCTTTCGCGATTTTATATGAACCTAAAATATCGTAATTAATTTAAACAAATTTTTGAGGCAGTTTAATATATTATAGAAATACCTGAAATCTTTTGAAGCTCGTACGATGATTTTCGATCTACTATTCTTATTTAAATATTATAATAATCTTCAATTACTATTATTCACTATTATAATAATCTTCAATTTAAAATCCCTCATTTTATTTAATTTATTTTCCCCGATGAGGTCTATAAAAATTTCTTTCGCGATTTTATATGAACCTAACCTATCGTAATTAATTTAAACAAATTTTTGAGGCAGTTTAATATATTATAAAAATACCTGAAATCTTTTGAAGCTCATACGACGATTTTCGATCTACTATTCTTATTTAAATATTATAATAATCTTGAATTTAAAATCCCTTATTTTATTTTATTTTCCTCGATGAGGTCTATAAAAATTCCTTTCGCGATTTTATATGAACCTAAACTATCGTAATTAATTTAAACAAATTATTGAAGCACTTTAATATATTATACAAATACCTGAAATCTACTATTTTCAATCTACTATTCTTATTTAAATTAATTAATGGCATCATTAACTATTCTGCACTACTTTCCTCTATCAACTTTTATTATATAAATTCCTGACGTCATTACGATCATTCCTGCCTTGCAAATATACTTCCAGATACCCCAATACCGACCCTGTAAACCGAATTTGCAAACTTGCAGAAAGGACCAGTTTCGAGTTACATTTATTCACTGAATCGGTCAATTCCTTTCATAAACTATTATCTAAATATGTCCAATTTATACTGACACTTCTGCATTCGTATTTCATATGTAACAATTTTTATACGTAATGTTCTCCGTATAGAACTTGTTAACCCTTTGCACTCGAGAGGCCGTTTGATAAAATTTCAAAGTTTGATACTCAAACTTAAAGTCAAATTTAAGATAACGTAACAGTGTGCGAGGTATCGAAATCAAATAATTCTATGTGTTAATGATTATACGAATTTTTATTTAACTTTATAGCAGAAAATCTTTGACCTCCTGCCCTTTTGTAGCCAATAAATCATCAAGTGCAAAGGGTTAAATCTACAAATGTACACTAATAGAGCTACCCGTTAATTATCTATATAAATAAAATAAATAAATAAATATAACTATAGGAGTAGAGTTACTAGAGTACAAGTTGTATAAAATATGGTTCAGTAAATTCGAAATTACAACTAAGATTAGGGAAGCTTTACCACCTTTAATCCGAAAATAGTGATACTCGTGAAAAATTTGTAAGGCGAGTTTGGAATTAACATTTTCATTTACCTTCGTACTATAATGTTAAACCATCCTACATCTATATTAGAAAATACAAGCCGAAGATAAAAAGTATTCGGATATAATGGCCGATGGTAATAACCGACCCCTTAAGCAACCTATAACTCATTCCGACACTCGCGAGTAACACTGGCATCGTTCGGGTTACAAAGCTTCACTGCATAGTTAATTAAATTCAAAAGCGTATCACCGTAACCACACAT